CATCGGGAGCTAGGAGAGAGGCATGGAAGGGATTCTCCCCCAGAGCCTCCAAAAGCAGCCAATCCTGCCCACACTTTGATTTCAGACTTCTGGCCTCCAGTACTGTGAGATAATCCGTTTCTGTGGTTTGAAGCCACTTGGTTTGTGGTAATGAGTTACAGCACCCTAGCAAACTAACATGCCAGCCCAGCGCAGGACACATCTGAGCGCGTGAGGAACAAGCTGCCCTCTGTGCCCTAGAGAAGCTCACAGGGACCCTGCGTGCTCTTCTAAGGTGCCTGGGATCCGAGCAGATCACTAGGAGAGTGTTTGCTCGCCCCTGACCCTAGGTGCAGGGACTTCAGAGTAATACCTACTAAATGATCCCCTACAGCTGTTGCTTGCAAGTGGGGAAATACTGTGAGGAAGGGACAGGGTGGGTCACACAGGAAGTGTGTGTGATTGCAGAAGACAGAGACTAAGCAACCCTGTCTCCAGCAAGTGGAAATGGTCTTTATGTTGATGGTGGCCGTGATACATATGTTTTCATTTTATTTTATTTTGAGACAGGGTCTTGCTCTTATCACCCAGGCTAGAGTTCTTTGGCACGATCACAACTCACTGCAGCCTCGACCTCCCAGGCTCAGCCTCGATCCTCCTGCCTAAGCTTCCTGAGTAGCTGGGACTACACATATGCGCCACAAAGCCTGGCTGATTTTTTTTTTTTTTTGCCATCTTGCCGAGGCTGGTCTGGAACTCCTGGGCTCAAGTGATCTGCCTGCTTTGGCCTCAAGTGCGGGGGTTACAGGTGTGAACCACCGTGCCTGGCCAGCCATGATACAGATGCTCAGGTCTGTGCTTCCTGTCTCATCTTTATGAGCTCCAACCAAAAGCCTCCCTCAGGTAGCTATTACTGCTCCCATGTTAAAAAAGAGAAAACTGACATTCAGAAAAGGACACGGGCTGGGTGCGGTGGCTCACGCCTGTAATCTCAGCACTTTGAGAGGCTGAGGCGGGCGGATCACCTGAGGTTGGGAGTTCGAGACCAGTCTGACCAACATGGAGAAACCCCATCTCTACCAAAAATACAAAAAGTTAACAGGGCATGGTGGCATGTGCCTGTAGTTCCAGCTACTTGGAAGGCTGAGGCAGGAGAATTGCTTGAACCTGGGAGGCAGAGGTTGCGTTGAGCCAAGATCACTCCATTGCACTCCTGTCTGGGCAACAAGAGCGAAACTCCATCTCAAAAACAAAAGCAAAAACAAAAACAAAAAACAAAGAGGGAAATTACTTCTCTGAGGTCACACAAGTAGTAACGACCGGGATCTGAACACGACGGTTACAGGATCCAAGTTCTGTGTGCCTTCTACACGGTGATGTGCTGATAAATGTTGAACAACTGGCTCTCCAAGGGGAAAAATGTATGTCTGTGTATAAACACATATGTTTACAAAAAAATTTATAGTTTTACTGATTATAAAGGACATGTACCACACAGTTTTCAAAGAATAATAATATAATCTACAATTCTCTTTATTGTAAATGCCATACAATTATAACTTCAGGGTAACTTGCTATTTCTTGCAAAATCTAGTACGAGTTTTTATTTTATTTTTTAGGTTTTATGTTTTTGAGATGGAGTCTTGCTCTGTCACCCGGACTGGAGTGCAATGGCGCAATCTTGGCTCACTGCAACCTCCGCTTCCCAAGTGCAAACGATTCTCTTGACTTAGCCTCCTGAGTAGCTGAGATTACAGGTGCACAACACCATGCCCAGCTAATTTTTGTATTTTTAGTAAAGATGGAGTTTCACCATGTTGGCCAGGCTGGTCTCGAACTTCTGACCTCAGGTTATCTGCCTGCCTCAGCCTCCCAAAGTGCTGGGATTACAGGTGTGAGCCACCACACCCAATCCAATATTAACATTTACAGCTAGTGCTCGACTTACGACCACGGTCGGGACTGCGGACCGGTCGTAACACGATTTGTTTGTAAGTTGAGTAGGCTATATGTACAGTTGAAATGGTGCACGTGGAGATGGTAGTGCTGCTGGAAGCTGGTCCGCACTGTCGTACGCCCAGCTGGGCAATGTTTGCACTGCCAGACGCGGAGCAGTCGTGGCTAGCGATTGTGGTCGTAAAGTCAAATGGTCGTAAGTTGCATAGGTGGTAAGTCGATCAATACCTGTAAAAGGAATTCCTCCTGCCTGACAACCTTTAAGCTGGGACATGAGTTTTTTGTTTGTTTGTTTTTTGTTTTTTCCTGTTTTTGGACATAAAATTAAAACATTAGCTCTTTCTGAGTCTCAAGGCTGCCAGCCTTTGGACTGGAAATACCATTGTCTCTCCTGATTCTCAGCCCTTCACACTAGGACTGGGACTCACCACCAGCATTCCTGGGTCTCCAGCTCTCTTTAACTAAATCATTTTAGTGTGCTACCTTTTTCTTGAGGGGAAATTACTGACACAGAAAAAGTAACTGATTTCCCCCAGATCACAGAGCTTATAAGAGATGAGGTCTGGATTCCAATCCAGTCAACTTGATAGGATGGTCCGTGTCTAAATTCTAAAAGAGGGATTTTTTTTTCCCCCCATAGAGGCACTATTCAGGGGTAAGCTGGATATTACTAGCATTTGAGAGAAGACAGGGGCTATCATTTATTCTCGTTCTTTGACCGCGTCACAGGCCATTGCCTCTCCTCTGTTTGCTGATTCATGCAAGACCAGGAGCTCCCCTAGTAAGTGGCCTGAAGGGTAACACCCATCCCCCGCAAGCCATGTCTCTCCCCCATTCTCTTGCTCAGCCTCAAGTCATAGGAACCACCCTGTGGTTGATTCATCCTGACATTTATTATGGATACCTTAGAAATGGATAGTTGAGTTGTGAGTTGTAGAAACTCAGTCAAGCTGGCTTAAGTTAAACCTCCTTGCTGGCAGAACACAAGGGAATTTAAAGGAAGTTCAACTGCAGACAGACATCTAGACCTTGGAGGAACCGGGACATAATCTGCGACTTCATCATGTCTCACTTCTCTGCTCAAATCCTCTGCTCCGTTCTCTCTGTGACTCTTTCTAGCAAATGATCCAACCTGAGGGTGTCCTGGGGATTCTGCAAATTTGCATCTGATATCAGAAGCAAGGGTGGTCTTGCATGAAGGCTGTGCCCTCTAACTTTGTAGCAGGTTCCTATTTTACTGTACCCTCCTTCTGGGTCTCAATTTCTCCATCTGTCAACACAGGAAGAAGAACTCAGCTGACTTCATGGAGCTGGTGACCTAAGGGGTTCCCTGGATGTGCAAGCATCCTGGGTAATTATAAATGAGGTACAGAAGCAAAAGGTTTAGTTAAACCATCATTTATTGAAGCCTTTTGTTGGCAAGGGTCAGTGGCATAGATTAAATACATGCATTGGATGCTGATGAGCAAGGCTTGCAGAGCTTCGTGGGGATTGTGCAGAGAAAACCATCATGGGAGTCCAGAGAAGAGCTAGATTCCCAAGGACCACATCATGTCATCAAAACTCAGGAATCTCCCCTTGCACTGGAATGAAATCAGCCTTCATCGCCCAGCCCCTCACCCAAAGACAGGTTCTGCTGTAGGTGGACTCTGGACCCGCCAGGCTTCTCCTTCCTCTCTCTTCTTTCTGTTGATTCTCTCTCCTTTTGTCCTCTGTTTCTTGTTTATAATAAAATGATAGTGTCTGTAATGGCAACTAAATGATTGCTGCAAGAGCAGGCACCAGAAATCTTCTTAAGGTGGATGCTGTCACTGATAAATAACTTGAGTTGGGAAAGGAGACCTGAGGGATAAAGAGTCGGAGTCGGCCGGGCGCGGTGGCTCATGTCTGCCATCCCAGCACTTTGGGACGCCAAGGTGGGTGGATCACGTGAGGTCAGGAGTTTGAGACCAGCCTGGCCACCGTGGCAAAACCTCGTCTCTACTGAAAATGCAAAAATTAGCCAGGCATTTGACCATGAAGAGAGGTTGAAGGTGGCCGTGTCATAATGCATTATGACATAGCCATGTCATAATGCAAAAATTATGGCGCATGCCTGTAATCCCAGCTATCCAAGAGACTGAGGCAGGAGAATCACTTGACCTTGGGAGGTGGAGGATGCAGTGAGCGGAGATCATGACATTGCACTCCAGCCTGGGCAACAGAGGGGGACTTCGTTTCAAAAAAGAAGAAAAAAAAAAGAGAGAGTCAAAGGAAAGACGGCTAAATTACTCTGGATTGTTAAAAAAGGAAAAAAAAAAACCAAAGCAGAACTCTGGAGGTGAGGAGTTAAGAGCGAGGGTGAACTTTTAAAAGGGTGTCTCAAGTTCAACTGGAAGCGTCATGTTTGTCAATTGCTGGCCAGTTGCATATTCCCACACTGCCAAGCTTCTGTACAATGTGTTCCATATTTAAATACCTTTTAAGGTAGCTTTTCAGGAAGTTGAGGGAAATGTCTGAGTTCCTTTCTGGGTTAATTTCATTCAGAGCATGGTGTGAGTTGGACTAATTCAGTTGAAGCAAGACTTAAGAGTCAGAGGTGAAAACACGGGCCTTGGGGGCCCTGCCTTGTGGGGAGCACAATCTCTTCCTCAAAGTTTATGATACAAAAGATTAGGCAATCAGGCAGATCTCAAGGGATGAGGGGTCTTCAGCTGACATCTAAATAACTTTATATTTTTTCTCATTTGTTGACCAATAAAGGCTGAGGGCTTTATATAAAGTATCTTTTTGTGTATCTTGTCTGAGTTAAGCCACACTTTTTCACACTTCTCCCTCCTCCTTCATTTACCTAGGATGACTACATAATTTATTTTTCACAGCAGGACACTTTTCAGAATGGAAGTAGTCACTACTAATCACTATGCTGGAATGATGGGTATCATTCACTACTGATAACTCGGGACTAATAATCATGGGCATCATTCAGGCCCATTTCAGGAAAACTAGGATGCAGATGACAGCTTCTTCCTGTCATTTCCCACCTCTGACCACCCGAGGCTGACGTCCAAAATCAAAACAAGAAATCAATAATAAACTCATATTTGTTTATTCTCCCCAAATTAGGGGACACAAAGGCTTTTTTTTGTGATGAGTGGGTAACCCTAAAATAAGCAGGAAATACCTGTGGCTCAGCCTAACTCAAGGTGAGACGAAGTTGAAACTGAGAGCTCGAAAGTATCTCCCAGCTCCCTCCTCACTCTGCCTGTAACTCCGCCTCTACAGAAGGTGAGGTAGAATTGATAGCTGTGTCACTGGTCTGCTCAGAGTCCTCAGTCAGGGCCCTCTCCAGACTGGTGGGCAGGGAGTGGATCAGTCTCTCCCGGAAGTCCTGGCCCATGAAGACGTAGAGCATTGGGTTGAGGCAGCTATTGAGGAAGGGCAGGGGACTTGTCACATCCCTTGCAATTGTCATTGCTTTGTTCATGCCAAACAGTAATAACTCATGGATTCTGATGGTGAGTGCGAGGGCCACCACCTGATATGGGAACCAGCAGAGAAAAAAGGCAGCTGTGACAAAGGAGAGGACCCGTAGGGGCGACTGGACTTAATCAAGCCTTCCTTGTGGATCTTGGTGGCAATAAGCCCATAGCTGACAGTGATGATGGACATGGGTGCGCTGAAGCAGATGATGAACCAGATGATGCCTCTCACTGTCAACATGGCGACGTCCACCTTCAACCTCTCTTCATGGTCATTGGTCAAGGGTGAAAAGTCAAAAGGGCAGGCTGCTGTCCCTGGCCCCAATCACCAGGTATTGTCTTCACACGAATGATAACTGGCAATGTAAGGAGCAGAGCCAGCACCCAGGGCCCAATGATCACCTTCTTGGCCATGCTCACAGTGCAATGGTTCTGGGACCAAACTGGATGTAAGACACAAACACAGCAGTCCAGGGCAACAAGGGAGATCAGGAAGACACTTCCAAACAAGTTGATGTCCGCTATAATATAAATGAATTTGCATAGGATCCAACCTAAAGGCCAGTGTCCTCCCATGGCCTTCGATGCCATGGGGAATGGCAAAGTGGAGGTGAAACAGAAGTCAGCCATGGCCAGGTTCAGGTAACTGATGGTGGTGACTGTGTGCGTCATCCGGAACCCAGCCACCCAGATCACAAGCCCGTTGCCCAGGACCCCGAGGACAAAGGTGACTGCAAATACCAGATAAGAGAAGATACCCAGGACGAGATAGGCATCTCTGGAGGTGTCCCTCCAGAGATGTTCATGGGGAGAGAGGAATTGGTCTCCATCTTGCCCACTCCTGAAATAGCTCGGCTGTGGTCATTCCTCAGTTGTGAATCTCCACACCGTTTCCCCACCGCCTCATTTCTATCCCTGCCAGTTTTCCCACTCATAGCTTTCTCACATTCCCCTAGAGCTTCCGCTGCAGCCAGAATATCCCCATCCCTGTCCCTTACACAGGCCCACATCTACACATTGGCAATCTTTTATTGTACCTGTTGGGCAAGACTACATCATTTGTTTGTTTGTTTTTGTTTTGAGACGGAAGCAAATGCATATGCACAGGAGCAAGTACAGTGGTGGGAAGAATCAGAGGGAAGCAATGAAAGGTAGAAAAGAAATACTGAGAGATGGAACCAGAAACACAGAGAGAGGTAAGGGAGACGGGGAAGTTGAGACAGTGGTGGGACAGTGCGTCCACACCCATGCATGCCACCAAGATTAACCCCGTAAACCTCTGATCTTGTGGAAGCTCATTTGTAGTCTTGCAGCCCAAAGAGATCACGGTTTTTCTGAAATATTAAGCATCATTCCAAAGGTATCAGAGATATATGGAGAGATATGGTAAGACAGTTAGAGAGACAGAAATAATGACACTGATTCTAAAAGCATTATTCCCAAGGCCTTGTTTCATTAAGGCTGTTCTTTCTTCTTTTTTTCTTTTCTTTTTTTTTTTAAGAGATTGTGTCTTGCTGTGGTGGTGGCCCAGGCACGTCTCAAACTCCTAGGCTTAGTGATCCTCCTGCCTCAGTCTCCCCAAACACTGGGATTACAGGTGTGAGCCACCGTGCCTGGCTACGGCTGCTGTTTTTAATTCTAAGTAATTTACAATTTAAAATTACACCTAACAATGGCTTAAACTAGGGGTGTCCAATCTTTTGCCTTCCCTGGGCCACACTGGAAGAAGAATTGTCTTGAGCCACACATAAAATACACTAACACTAATGATAGCTGATGAGCTAAAAAAAAAAAAATCCCCCCAAATCTCATAATGTTTTAAGAAAGTTTATGAATTTGTGTTGGGCCCCATTCAAAGCCATCCTGGGCCATGGGTTGGACAGCATGGCTTAGAACAAAGACAAAATTTATGGTTTACTTTACAAGGATTTTGCAAGAGGGTAACACTAGGTTAGGTTATATCTGGCAATATAATCAAGAACTATATTTATTTTAATCTTTTCTCTTTATTATCCCTAATACGGTTTCTTTTATTCCTGGGGATTGCCACTTCATGGCCCCAAGAAAGCTACTATAGCTCCTGACTTCACACTACAGCAGGGGTCCCCAACCCCCGGGGCCACAGACCAATACACAGAGCAGTACTGGTCTGTGGCCTGTTAGGAACTGGGCTTCACAGCAGGTGACTGGCAGGCAAACAAGAAAAGCTTCATCTCTATTTACAGCCACTCTCCGTTGCTGGCATTACTGCCTGAGCTCTGCCTCGTGTCAGATTGGTGGCCGCGTGAGAGTCTCATAGTAGCATGAACCCTACTGTGAAGTGCGCATGTGAGGGATCTAGGTTGTGCACTCCTTATGAGAATCTAATGCCTGATGATCTGTCACTGTCTCCCGTCACCCCCAGAAGGAACCATCTACCTGCAGGAAAACAAGGGCTCCCACTGACTTTACATAATGGTGAGTTGTATAATTATTTAATTATATATTACAATGTGATAATAATAATAGAAATAAAGTCTACAGTAAACATAATGTACTTGAATCATCCTGAAAGCATCCACCCCGCTGCCCCGGAATCCATGGAAAAATTGTTTTCTATGAAACTGGTCCTTGGGGCCAAAAAGGTTGGGGACTGTTGCAATATAGCATCCCATGCCAAGAGGATGAGGATAAAATGGAGAGTCACTGAAGATCTTCTTTTTTTTTTTCTTTTTTTTTTTTTTGAGATGGAGTTTCACTCTGTCACCCAGGCTGGAGTGCTGTGGCCCAATCTCGGCTCACTGCAACCTCAGCCGCCTGGGTTCAAGCAATTCTCCTGCCTCAGCCCCCCACAGTAGCTGGGATTGCAGGCACATGCCACCACACCCAGCTAATTTTTTGTATTTTTTTGTATTTTTAGTAGAGATGGGTTTTCACCGTGTTAGCCAGGATGGTCTTGATCTCCTGAACTCATGATCCAGCCACCTCAGCCTCCCAAAACGCTGGGATTACAGGCGTGAGCCACCACGCCCAGCCAAAGATCTTTCATCAGAAGTGTGATATGCTCATTTGTACTTTATAAACGTTTGTGTTATATTATGTCCCCTCTCATCTGGAACCTGGCTAGGATTAGAACTAATTTGACCAAAGAATGTGGTAGAAATGACACCACATAGCTTTCAAGCCTAGGTCAAAAAATGCTATGAAGCGTTTTCTGGTTCTCCTCAGATACGTATTCTGAAAGAAGGCAGCCATTGTGCAGGGACTCTGATTCCCCTGAGGCCGCCATGCTGGAGAGGCTGCCTATAGGCACTTGGTACAGTCCCAGCCTAGAACTGAAACCCAATTCTTGTTCAGACTCAGAATCTACCTCTTTCCAAAAATGTTTTTATAATAAATGTCAAACTTATCACTGAAAACATCCTCCCTAGCAATTTAGTGTGAAAAGAGAAAATTACTTATCTCTTCCTCTTAGACTCTTGTTTTTCTGGCTCTCCATCTTTCATCTTTATATCCCTTGGGTTTGAACAAGTTTCTGGACCACTCTGATAGTACTGAAGACCTCAGAAAGAGCCTATCTTCTTAGATGATGTCCCACAAATTCTCTCTCTAGGAGCAGAAGTTTAGGGGGTTAATCTTGGTGATGGCATGGGGTGAAGGGTGTCTCTCATTCACCTCTCTCCATGCTCCTGGTTACTGCTTCTTTTAGCACCATTTTGGTATAATAATGACTATATTTGGTCTTGTCCTTGGTTCCTGGCACAAGGTTCGTAAACCCTTGGAGTTTCCTGAGTATAGGAGTGTCTTTGGTTATTCATAAAGAGCACTTTTTTTTTTTGAGACAGAGTCTCCTTCTAGTGCCCAGGCTAGAGTGCAGTGGTGTAATCTCGGCTCACTGCAACTTCCACCTCCTGGGTTCAGGCAATTCTCCTGCCTCAACCTCCCGAGTAGCTGGGGCTACAGACACACACCACCACACCTGGCTAGTTTTTTTGTATTTTTGGTAGAGATGGGGCTTTACCATGTTGGCCAGGCTGGTCTCAAACTCCTGACCTCGTGATCTGCCCGCCTCAGCCCCCCAAAGTGCTGGGATTACAGGCGTGAGCCACCAGGCCTGGCCAAGAGCACTTTTTGATCAGAGCTGAGTATATGTCAATGAGATGACTTAATGTGGGGCCATCCATATGGGCTTAGGATGGGGTTGACCAACAGAAAGGCCAAGTGATTAGAAGGTTGGAGCTTTCAGCCCCACCCACAAGCATCCTGGAAGAGAGGGTAGAGACTGGAAACTGAACTCTATAAAAAGTCTTGAATAATGAGATTTGATGGGCTTCCATGTTGGTGAATACTTAGATGTGCCAGGAGGGTGGTTCCCTGGAAAGTATGGAAGCCCCATGCATCACCACACCCCTTCCCTCGCTATATACCTGCACTATGCATCTCTTCCATTGGACTGTTTTTGAGTTGTATCCTTCATAACAAACTAGTAAATGTAGGTAATGTGCCTTCTTCTTTCCTTATTTTTTTATTATTTTTTTTTTTTTGAGATGGAGATGGAGTCTTGCTCTGTCACCCAGGCTGGAGTGCAGTGGCATGATCTTGGCTCACTGTAACCTCTGCCTCCCAGGTTCAAGTGATTCTACTGCCTCAGCCTCCCAAATAGCTGGGATTACAGGCATGAGCCACAGCGCCCAGCCAGTAATGTGCCTTCTTAAGCCATTCTAACAAATTATCAAAATAGAGGAAGGGGTTATAAACATTCCCCCAACCCCAATTTATGCCCAGTCAGTCAGAAGTACAGGTGGCCATCCAGGACTTGGATTGGTGTCCAAAGTCAGGACAGTCTTGGGAGAGTGAGCCCTTTAACTTGTGGAATCTGACACTAACTCCAAGTAGAGACTGTCAAAACTGAATTGAATTGTGAGATACCCAGTGCTGACCCCAGATAACTGTAGAATTGCTTAATGTGGGAAAGACCCATACATCAGAACGATTGTATAAGTAGAGAACTAAGTTTTACTTAACCATATTTGTTCTTTATTGTGTGGCTGTAACGCTTCTCACTTCAGTAATTGTTTCTTTCGTTTTCATGAAACTCTGAAGAAGAAAGGGCTGGACATTCAGATTCCTTGGGCTTTGATATTTGGAAGCATGATCTCCAGTCTCCCACAGAAGGCTAGAGGTGAAGGAAAATTCAGACACAGAGATTTCTAAGAAGAGTCTGCTGACAACATGTCCAAGGTGTCTTCTGAAAATTATAAGACATCCTGAGTTTCGGCTAGGGGATTGGCTCTAGCTCCATTGTCCCTCCCCCTGTCCTTCAATAAAGTCTCTGCAAAAGCCCTTAGAGCCTGTGTTGCTCCACAGGAAGCCAAGAAACAGAAACAAGAAAAGGAGCTTAGCTGCTGGTAAGTTGGGGTCTGACAATTTAAAATTTATCGTTGGAACGCCTGCTCTATGACAGATGCCTCCTAAATTCTAGAGTAGTGCTCTAATGGAGTATCCACTTGCCACATGTGGCTTTTGAGGGCTCATGTTTCTTTCTTGATCTGAAATGTGCTTAAGTGTAAAATATACTTAGTGTAGTTTTTTTGGGTTTTTTGGTTCTGTTTTGTTTTGTTTTTGAGACAACATCTCACTCTGTCGCCCAGGCTGGAGTGCAGTGGTGTGACCTCGGCTCACTGCAACCTCCCCTTCCTGGATTCAAGCGATTCTCCTGCCTCAGCCTCTCAGGTAGCTAGGCCTACAGGCGTGCACCACCACGCCCGGCTAATTTTTTGTGTTTTTAGTAGAGACGGGATTTCAGTGTTAGCCAGGATGGTCTCAATCTCCTGACTGTGTGATCCGCCCACCTTGGCCTCCCAAAGGGCTGGAATTACAGGTGTGAGCCACCGCAGTTGGCTACTTAGTGTAGTTTAATCATTAGTATGATAAAAACGATACAACTTATTTCATTAATAACTTTTATGTTGGTTATGTGTTCCAATGATATTATTTTTCATTTGTGGGTTTAATCAAATCTATTATTACAATTAATTTCTCCCAGTGATTTTATTTTTTTAACATGGCGACTAGAAAGTTGTGAATCACATGTGTGGCT